GGCTCGGATCTGAGATCTCAAGAAGCCGCGAAGTGGAGGAGGCTGCCTGTTGGGCTCACTTGGAACATCTTCATTTATCATTCCGATGCTGGAGAAGTCGGGCATAGATTCTGAACAGCGTAGATTGAACTCCATGCCTGCTAAAATAAAAAATGGTGAGGAGTAAAGGGGAGTTAAACCTATAATTTATAGGAACCCCATATCCCTAGCAAGCTACGGATTCTATCCAAGGAATGGAATGATTCGCGGAGAGATTTATGCCCTCGAACGAATCCTGCATTAAAAGACGCATCTCGAAGAATATTTGGAAAAGAAGGAAAGTAGCAAATATTTCCATAAATAAAAGGGCCGAAGCCCATTACGAGTTTTTGTTTTAAAAAAAAAGGAGAAGTGAAGAAATTGGAGAACATTTATGGGAGAGGCTCAGGAACAGGCTCCTTCATCGCCGGTTTAGTCCTCGAAGTGGACGCCTTGTTTTTGGCATCCACTTCGGAACGATCCCGAAGGCGTTTCCGGCAGTCGCTGGCCTCCTCCTCCAAGTCCTCTTCCTCTTCATCGTCGGATGGAACGGCGAAGACGGGGGCGTTCACGGGACCCGGGACTCCTCTAGCGCGGAGATACATCCGAAGCATCTTCGGGATCTCAGCAACGGAGTCGAAGTTCCGCCACTCCCATTGAAAGGGATCACTCTCCAAGGCCCTTATCTTCCTTTCCACCCGAGCGACGCGAGCCTCGAGCGTCTGCCTTTTGAGTCCCAGCCGCTGCCTCTCTTCACACAAGCGACGGTGCTTGTCGGCGACCTAGCATAAAAATAAGTGAATGAGACGAAACAAGAAGTTTTAAATCAAAAACTTTAACATTTACCTTGTCAATGAAATCGCAGGCCTCTTTCTTCTCCTTCGGAGGAAAGTGAAAGACGGCGTGAGGAAAGAGAACGCCGGCCGGTTCAAAGCCGTCGCCGGATAAGAAGAGTGGACTGCCGGGATCAACGGGGGCTACTGTTTCGCTTTCCATTCTTAAAATATTTCTCAAGTGAGACTCTAGAGTCATGTTTAATAAAGCCTAGAGGTAGGTAAGCCTTTATTTATAATGATTTAGGGTTTGTCTTGGAACCATAAATTCATTAATGGTAGCGTTTCCCAGTGGGTTAAACCATTTTTGGAAAATCGAGAAAAGGCAATTATTGCATTAAAAGACGAGCCGTTTTCTTTAAGAAGGGAAAGAGCAACCGTCGCATTAACTGCAAAAATTTCTAAGGCCCAAGCCTAACAAGTTTACCGAGTTGACTAAACCCGAAGTGGGGAACTCGCGTTAAGCCGAGCTCAGCTCTCGCATTCTAAAGAGAAACGTCTGATCACACTATAAAATCTCGGAAGCATTGCCACAAAGCCACAAAACGTTAAAAGCGGACTTTGCAAACCC